ACTAGGTACCTTGTTACATATTTCGTCTTCGAGTTGTTCAAGCTGAACCAGCATGGTGATATACAGCAACGCACTTTACCTTTTGACATGTGGGCCAAGTATGCGGCAAAGGCACCCGAAAAACTTTCAAGTGAAATGATAGGGAAGGTTTGGGAATTTTACGGTTTTGATGGTCCTGTGAGGATGCTTGAGGATTTCGTAATGGCTGATGTCGCAGAAGGTGTAGTACGTGATTTGAAAACTGAGCTGATTGGTTTTTGGAAGGCGGAGAATACACCTATGAAAGAAGCCCTCAATCATTTGAGGTTTGACAAAACAACTGTCCTCCTTGTTCGCGAAAGACTGCTCAATACGTGGCTCGAGTATGGAAACACCAAAAAGGGCGTGACCAAAGAGATGGTGGAGGCGATAGATAGCTGCGACGACGAGATGCGTGTGGCAATTCTTGAGGACTTGAGAAAGATTAAAGGCACTGATGGCTTGGTCAAATTTGCTTTAAATCACTTGATGACTTATTTGGAAGAGCGGAAGTAGATGCAAATCTCGTCTACAAGTTTTTAAAGCTTGACCAGCCTGAATACAAACAGCCACGCACCTTACACTTTGAAACGTGGGTTAGGTATGCGGCAAGGTCACCCATACTCCTGTCGAAGTCAACATTGGAGTCGGTCTTTAACATTCACGGTGATGTAGGCATTCTAGAATTAGCTAAAGCTTACTCCAATCGCAGAAAAGACTTTAGCTATCTGCTGAATTTTTGATAACTAATACTAGAAATCGTCACAATATATGTCAGCGGAATCCGAAGGGGAGTCGGATGACTCGATTGATATGCAGTGAATGTCACTTGTACCGGCTGGTGAAGCACACATTCGTGAACGACTTGTACCGACCAAGGCTGAAGTGCGATCGCCAACGACATCCGCAGCTGAAGACATAAATGTGACTTGATCAGGGCAGCTGTAGTCCTACTTTGAAGCTGCTATGAGGAAGTATGAACAGGACCAAGCTCGCATGATCGCTAGTCGATCCGCAATCTCCATAAACACCCCAAAAGTTTGCATTTCGGAGTGGACATGGAATCGGCTGGATCGCGTCAATCGTGATCCAATAATTACAATCCAGACGATTTGGGGCTAGAGGATTTAAGACGGCCTTTTTAAAAGCAACACTGAATTATTGGTCTGGGTCGATCTATTTTCGGGCTATGTGGTTGCCAAGGCGAACAAATCTAGAACAGCTCAGACGATCGCCGAGAATTACGAGGAGTGCGTCTTTCGACGATTCGGTGCGAGTGAAGCGATACGGCACAATCGGGAACCTGGATTTATGTCAGATTTTTCCGTGCGTTCAATCGACTTATTGGGCAAAAGCAAAGAGCGACTATGGCATATCGCCCTCAAGCAAATGGGACTGCTGAACGTATGGTCCAGACCTTAATCCGAGCGTTGAAAAATGTACGTCTCGGACGTCAATCAACAAGATTGGGACGAATATGCTGAGCGGCTGACATTTGCGATAAATACTGCCCAAGATCGAGCTCGTGGAGACACGCCTTTTTACTTGATCCACGGATGGGATCCTCGATCTACGTTGGAAGCTACGTTGCCACTGGGAAGTACTCAGCTACGAGATCGGGAACCTCTCAGATGGCGATATCAGTACAACGACACTACCAGCGAGCCCGAGATGTAGTCAACGAACGACTTACAATGTCTATCCAGACTCGAGCGGATCAGCATAATGAAGACTTACAACCTCACGAGATCGAGCCCAGTACCCAAGTTTAGTTATACCTAGATCGAGTGAAGGAAGGATTTGCTCGAAAATTAGCACATATGTGGCATATACCTTTTCGAGTGAGTGAAGAGTGTGGTGATCACGCTGTTTGCCTGAAAATCGCTGGCACGCCGTATCGATTATTCCCGATCGTGAATATATCCAAGCTGAAATGTGTAAAGTATTTCCCAACCGCACGAAGCAGTTGCTGACGGTGGAAGAAGCAGATCGTTTTGATTTTGACGAGGCACTTCTGCCGGAGGATAGCTGGAAGCGGCATCTTGGGGACAACGAGTTCGAAATGGAGAAGATTGAGGATATGCGATCCGGTAAGAAAACTCGTTTTGGACGGGTTCATCGCCAATTTAAGGTTTACTGGAAAGGTTATACCGATCCATCGTGGGTTGATGAGGCTGATCTAAATTGTGGAGCATTATTGCAAGAATTTGAGCGCGAACAAGTTCGCCGTAATCGTTTCGAAGTTATGCAGTCTCATGAAGAGGAAAGAGCTGAAGATTAGTAAATTGGTTATTTCGCTTATTGAGAGTGAAAATGGCTGTACAAGATGGTTGTATAGCTGGGGGAACTAGGATATATGTGAATTTGAGTGTCGATCGAAGGTCTGAAAGACTAGATCGCGGCTGTAAAGGCCCAAAAAACAAGATGACAATTGCAAGAACGACTAAAAGAATGAAACGAAAACAGTGAAATTGTATTGAATGCTGAGGAGATGAAATCAGATCGCGAGAAGTTACTTTGGAAAAAACTTACCGGCCAGACGAGGGATTAGCGATCCCGAGTGATCTTCAATCGAAGTTCGATACTAATTTCTCCACGGCTCGGCAGAGTCCAACATTGAGAGCGCGGTAGCCAGGTTAGGGATAAACTTCTTCTCACACTCCAGACCAGGATACCATGGTCGCACTTCTGCGTACACTGGAAAGTGAAGGAAGTATGGATCTAACAAAATGTCCAGATCGCAGTGTCCTTGGACCATCCCTTGGAGAATAACGCGAAGAATAGTCTTCCAGCGGGGTCCAGATCTCGACCGACGCTGCTTGTGTTGCTGACAAAATTGCGCCAGCTCTGGATACTCCTTCCGAAGTTCGCGGGAGATATACAGGAAGTGGGTTGCCTCCCACAAGGCTTGCCGATGTCGATCTTCATATTCGAGGTAAATGTCCGCCAGATCTTTGAACCAACCGGTCAGAGGGAAAGAGATGGGAGCAATCGGCCGACGAGTGACGTTCCACGGTTTCTGATCGTAAAGCGCAGTAACTTGTGCCGGGGTAATCAGTCGTGGGATCCATTCAGAATCAAGGAGAGATTTAATATTAGCTTGAGGGGTGAAGAGATATCCTTTCGGTAGGGACAAGTGTCGATAGAAGAACTCCACTCCCAATTCGGCAACACTGGTCAGACTGACCCGTCGTACGGACAACGGAGCAACCTGAATCGACGATCGAAGTTTTCGCTCACGATATCCTGGGATCCATGCATTACGTGATTCTTGGAGATCAGGCAGGTCGGCGTATTGAGCGGGAGTGAGCAACTGGTTTATATCTTTACGGATGTCACTGGAAACGCTAATCTTCCCGTCCGAGTCGCTAGAAGGTTCGCCAAAAAGGTCGACCTTGGAGATCTTGGCCGTAAGGCTAGGAGGCGTATCGGAATTCAAGACCGGTGATTTTCTGGATGATGGTCTTGTGGTGGAGTGGATTCTCAAACGACGTGAGAGAACCACAAACACACACAGCACCGTACTGCCGACTTACGGAGGGGGTACCCCGATACCGTGTCGCGTCAACCTTGGGTCTCACCTTGTGTACCCGTCGGCTTGGCTGGTCTTGCTCCTCGTTAGACGCAGAAGACTTAAAGACTTGGTCCTTGTATGGAGGGACTTCGGGGCCCACGAGTAGATATACTTCACTCGAGCCCAGGGTTTCATGGGCTAAATCGACTGTGTCGAGAGCAATGCACCTGTTACTATGTACCCCTTTCGGTGGCTGACTGTTCTTGGTCCTTGGACCCCATTCTCTTTTTCCCCGTAGAGAAACCGCTTCCTGTAGCGGGTCGTAGAGTCTTGACACTTACTTGACTCCTCAGGCCAACTATCCTGAGGTTCAACTTGCGTTGCTTGAGCCGTTTAACACCTGTTGACGTCGGGGGGACAAAAGATATCCCGCCCGGAAGAGGTGCAGCGACGTAGAAGCTAAGAGGAGGCGTTCAGAGCTGCCACGTGTAAAGCAAATTCGAGTGTGTTTATTTACCTTATATTTTGTATGCTTTTTCTTGCCTAACCCTAACCCTTTGATCTGGATAGTGCCACGTGTCGACTCTTGGAGGAAGAACTGTCTCCTTGGTACCTGTACTTTCTGTAATCTTCGATATTCTGTGTACCGATTCTGCACCCTCGGACATTGGGCCCTGTTACCTGTTTCCTGGGCCCCGGTACCCTAATACCCTGGAACCTGTTTCCTGGGCCTGGGGCCTGTGCTGGCTCCGCACGTCTGGGTCCTTATATTCTTAATAAGGCGGGGCCTGGTGTGTGGTTGTAGATCCGCGAGGCCGGGTCGTGGTCACTCCCCCGAGGGAGTGACCAGAAATTCTCTTGCTCTCTATTCCCATTCCCTTTAAGCTCTGATTTCACTTGGCACTTCACCACAGCTGTCCCCTGCACGCTGGTCTTCCGAAGTGCGGTAAGACCACGTGCACCCTTGTCCAGACTTTTCGAATTAACAGTAAGTGATCCTACGTCGTTTGGGTGGTTATGTTCATCAACTCACAAGTCTTGTATCCGTTAGTGACTTCTCGTAATCTTTCCACCGGGTTCCAAGTACCTGACCGTTGGCCTCTTCCCGAGCTTCCAGGACCTGACCCTGACGAGGTCGCCCCGACCTTGGATCTTATTGGGGAGTCCCCCAATTATCTGGAGGTCTCTCAAGCTTGGGAAGTCTTACGTGTTGCAGTGGAACGGGACCAGTCCATGGAGACCCTCGCTGAGGAACACAGGGTCCTCCAACGGGCCTACCAGATGGAACATCGCCGGACCGCGGAATTACAGCGTCGCGTAGACGACCTCACGGAATTCGAGGTGACCCATGCGCCCCGGATACAGTCTTGGGTCCGGAATCTGGTCCACGAGCATGAAGTGGACCAGCTGGCCATCGCCGAGTACCGGGATGCACTCGCCCAACGGGTGGACAATTCTCGGGAAGTGGAAGAATCCCGATTCCAGATCAAGTACTGGAAGGACCAGTACAACGAGGCTGTCATAAGTTCTTCGGCTGAGATTAAGTCGCTGTAGTCCAAGTTGGACGCACTTCGCAGTCCTCAAGTACTGTCGAAACAAGTGTCGGTACTCCAGAGAGAGGTTGTCAACTACAAGAGTCGCGTGAAGACCCTCCTCTGGGAACGAGACCAGCTGCAGAAGCAGCTAACGGTTGCTCGAGGCACGGCGGCAAAATCGACTCCAGCCACGACCAAGGCCCGAAGTCCCAGAGCGACGAAAAGGTCACGTTCGCCTTCAGCCAAGGTTCGGTCGCCCCTTAAGCCGAAGAAGCGGAAAGCCAATCATGCCCCGGGGTCATCTGAGGCCGAGGATAGCATTAGTGACGACTCGATGTTCGCCGCCATGGCCAGGTCGTGGGCTTCCAGTCGTCACTCCGGCCCCGTACACTCTACTTCAGAGGTCGGCCCAGAGGTCATAGACCTCTCGAATAAGGCCAAGTCCAAGACTCCCGCTCGATCCTTAAAGTCCCCATCACCTCGTACCTCCCACGCAGCTTCTCGGGCGTCAAGGAGAAAGAAAGGCTCGAACGGCGTACTCAGACGAGTTCCTGGAAATGTTTTGACCACTCTGAGACTGAGAGTGAAGAGTCTAGCCACGCTAAGAGGAAGCCACCAGCCAAAAGTTCCCGCTACAAGGGTCCCACCGGCAAGGGTCCAGCACCACCATCCAAGGGTTCCAGCGGCAAGGGTCCCGCACCACCATCCAAGGGTTCCAGCGGCAAGGTCCTGTGGTAAAGTCGATTAGAGAATTTTTTCAAAGTCCAAATAATAATTTTCTCGATAAATCTGGAACCGAATTATCGAAACTTTTCTCGCCAACGGTTGGATCCCTTTCCCATAATGGCTGGATCACTTTCCCATAACGGCGAGATTCCTTTCCCATAACGGTCGGATCCCTTTCTCATAACGGTTGGATCCCTTTCTCATAACGGTTGGATCCCTCTCCCCCATTAAGTCACTTACTTAAATGACTTATTGGGTGTGTTGAAGTCGATCTCAATTCATGGACGATCGAATGGAAAAGTACCGTTGATCCAAGATCGTTTATTTGCTTGTTCAACAAAACGAATGAAGAAGGGATCAATGGTATCGAAGGCGATGATGATATGGATTGAAATATACTTAAGGTGAAAATACATGGCATGGATCACAATTCCGAATTTTATTTGATTATCGTGGAATAGATCACCGTTTGAATTATACTGGATTTCAGTATCACTTTTGATTTTCTATTGATGCTGCGTAAGAATTTTTACAGGTCATAGGGCTTCCTTCAGATGGGATACTTCTTCTAAATGCTTTTAATTAAGTCTGTGCTGTATGTTGGAAGGCAAGCTTCAAGATGATGATCCAGTAATCTGGTCACACTGATTGTGGATAATCATGTTTACGCCGAGCACCTGTGGGGGGTATCGTTTTACGATTTATCCTATTATATATCCTGGTCGGGTTGGGGTAACGCCCTCCCGGAAGGCCTGAGCTAGCTTAATGCTAGTTGGGCCTTGGACGGATGCTTCGCGGTATCCGTCAGTTGAGGACGGGCCTCTCTCCCTCTACACACCTCTCTCTTGCCGCTCTCACCCCCAGCCGCCACGATGTACGCCGCCACGCCCGAAGTCCCGAAGTCCCGGCATCTTCACTTAGGTACGCTCGCATAATCCTTTGTTCCACGGTGCAAGCAACAAGAGACCCTCCCTGGGTAGGACCTGTTGACAAGATAGACATCCAAGGAATCCAAGCAAGAAACCTATTGCTGGACACCGCCGTCGACTGACCCCAGACCTGCTCCTCCTTTGCCGGTGTGCAAAGGTTCGTGCAGCCTGGACGGCTCTCAGCGCGGCGCATATAGCGCGCGCCGCTTAATGGACCCTGGCGAGAGTAGAGAGAAATGTAGAGAAGAAAGATAACCCGACGCATGCGGAAGTTGAGCCACTTTGGTGGCAAGAAGGCTCGCGTTACGCGTTAACATACATACATACATACATACATACATACATACATACATACATACATACATACATACATACATACATACATACATACATACATACATACATACATACATACATACATACATACATACATACATACATACATACATACATACATACATACATACATACATACATACATAAACTTTAAGCTAGCTCTAGGGGATAACGAAACAAATATAACTCTCTCTTGAAGACTTAAGTCAATAAATTATATGATTTATGAATCAGATTTATGAATTAGATTTATGAATTAGATTTATGAACTAGATTTATGAATCACGAGTTTCAATAGGAGGCCTAGTCGTCTGACGCTCTATAGAGAGTGGTGACAGGAGAGAATAGAACATAGCCGGGCACCCGATCAGATGCAAGTTTTTGGCTTGGCAGGTGATCTATACTCCTCACTTTAATATTTGCGCGACAGTCACCATCCATTGCAAGGATGGCTTTTAAGGTGAAGGTGGCCATTGTACTTATTCTCGTGACGCTAGTATCGTCTTCAAGAGCAACGTCTGATGACGATGTGATTCTCTATTTCCCGGCGTCTGATACGCTGAATGCGGCCCCTGGCTGGCCGAACCGATATCTGAGGTCAACCGAATATTTAACAACGACCAATGAGGGCAACGGCGAAGAGAGGGGAGTCATGCCGGAGATCCTTACTAAAATGGGATGGGAAAAATGGCATGTCGATACCTTGCCGCTGATTCTGAAAGAAAGCGAGGCCGTGCCATTAACCAGAAAAGTAAGCGGGATGAAACTAAGAATTTCTAAAGTCTTGAAGAAGTGGTGGGCTTCTGTCATGAATTATATCTTGCGCAAAGATGATGAGGTCAAGCATCTTGTCCAAAATGTAAATAACGATGACATCAAGTTAATTACAACAACATTAAAAGAGAAACATTTCCAGCGGTGACTCGATATGCAGAGATCTCCAGAAGATATTCACAAGCTTTTGGGACTTCCAAAAGGCCCCGCCCTCTTTGAGAGCCCACTAGTATGGATTTGGCTGGAGTACACGATCAGAGTCGGCAAAGAGAAGTCCGTAGACACCATGAGCTCTCTAAAGAAAATACTCGAGAGCGATGATGCGGTTGAAAAGATGTTTAAGGGTGTGCGTAAGCGCAAGTATTTTGATATGACGGTACCCGTGACGGAATTGAAAATAATTTCTACTTTAGAAAAACAAGGGTATTCTGATGAAAGAATACAGGAAATGCTCAACTATATCCACGCCGCCAAACCAAAAAGCACTTGATCGACCTCAAAGATTGAAGAACCCTAAAGCACTCTGAAGCACCTAAAGGATCTGGACCGAGTTGAGTCTGAAAGCGGTAGGAAAGAGAGGTGTGGTGGTTTGTGGCCATTCTATTTGTTTTGTATTAAGTAATTGCAATTGTCACGTACTTTTAAAGTTTGTCTGATGTGTAGTTAATTTGGAGTTGTCTATAACCTGCTCACTGTAGCGATGAACCCCAACACAGCGTAAATGCCAACAAGCACAGAGATCAATGCTAGGTAAGAATTGAATAAGTCGTCATGCCTAAATAGTTCGCCCTTGGTGATCCTGCTTTTTGGATGAAATTTGTCGTGTTGGTGCGTGATTTGCATAACATTTGAGAAGTAGGCAGTTAAACTGGTCTCAAGCTCTGCTTAGGCTGCTGTGGGCTTGGTGCTGAACATTACAGGCGCTGCCATGCTGCTTCAACATATTGTGGTGCCATCATGGATTTCCTAACGATTTTTCTCATCTGCATCTCAATGCGCTGCACCCAAACGTGTTGTATTTGTATCATAGCGCCATCTTAGCCATGTCCAGAAGCAGGTCAGTGCGTGGTGATCAACGATATAGGCGGCTACATACACAAAAGTATGTGGATGTGAGCCTCAAAGTATGCATGGAACACTATATAAACTGGTCGGAGCATGTACTGGACTGCCAATGGACGTGAAGGCGTATCCGCCAGTACCATCGCCGTCAATATCGATTATGATACTCTCGCTTCCAGCCAGCCAAAAGACCTCGTCTCCTGCCCAGAAGGAAGAAAAATATGAGCAAGCTGAGCAGAAAATTGTTATCACAAGCAGTGGATGATATGGTGTTTCTTTAAGACTATTGCCATCAATAGCAACGAGTCAAAGGGTAAAAGCACCGATTTAGCGAGACCTGGTCGCTCTCAAAAACTACGTCTCGCAAAATGACGACGTTTCAGCGACACGTTCAAGCTGCTGACGGTCAAGTCGTCCCAACAGGAAGATCTGTGCTTGGCAACGCCATTCACTGTGAAATGTATAAAAAAGGAGGGCTTGCATGACAGTGGACGACCTTAAGATTATCAACAAGAAGAAAAGGTGATGAAGAAGTTTTCCAAGAAGTACGAAACTTTTTTGGCCTCCGACATGCTGATCATGCAGATCATACGCTTGTTAGGTCCTGGCTTAACAGGGCTGACAAGTTCCCGACACGCGTGACGTCCAACGAATCGCTCACGGAGAAGGCGGATCAAGTGTGCACTACCATTAAGATTAAGAAGGTGATGTGTCTGAACGTCGCCATTGATCACGTGGCTCTTTTGAGTAGCAGACTGTGGTGAATACGCAGCTAGCTGCAAATTTCTTGGCGTCACTGCTAAAGAAGAACTGGGTAGATCATCAAGGTGCTGTACCTCAAGGCCACATGGGATTCTCCGTGCAGACCTTCTCGTTTGCTACTTGGCTACAGTCCATTTTCTTCTTGTTGATTATCTATAGGTCATTCGTCCACTGTCATGCAATTTGTAACGGGCTTTTACACGACTGTTGTAATAACATACCGAAAGTCTACGGTTGAAGTTTCTATATTGCATATAATGTATTCTTGATACTTCTGTTTAGAGCGGTATTAAGTATGAGCGTTAAGACACGGTATTCGATAATATCGTATCTTATCGATTAGGATTCAATAATCGATTTCGCTGTGCTAAGTACATCATACACAGATATTATGACGACACATCGTTCAATAACGAAGTCTGCATATTATAATTACTGTTAAAGTAATAAATCTTGTGCAGGGTACATAGAGTAGGATTAGTCAAAAAATCTTAATGCATAAATAAAATTAATCCTCATTTGAGTATAAGATCTCAAGTCTCGATAAGACTTGTTCTCTTGTGCACTTCGTGCGTTGGTTCTCTGAAGCTGAAGCTTATTGCTTGTAGACTAAAAGTCTCTCCTAGTTCATCGGAACAGGGTGACTTCTTAGTCGTATAATTAGTTCCTTCGAACTAGGGGCTTTAAGCCATCAACTACAAAATTAATTTTAGAGAATTAACAGGCTTTTAGCCTCTAAAGGCTTCCTCTGACTAAAAGATCCGTGTAGCTCCTTTACAGACGAGAGCTCCTTCGAAGAAAAGGAATTTATCATTAAAGTGACTGCTAAAAGAACTACTGAATGGGCATTAGTGTGTGGCTAAAGATGGAAGAGGGGCTGACAAGACGACGCCGCTGCTCGAGAAAGAAAGCGAGATGGCGCCACTGCACGAGAAGGACAGCAATTGTATGCCACAACTCAAGGAGAAAAAGCGCGACAGTGCCGCTGCATAAGGATGAAAGCGAGGTGGAGATGCCCACAATAGAATCGAGGTGTGACAGTACCTAATGAAGAAAAAGAGTAAGGAAAGTGATCCCGAACCTTGAAGACGTGGGGGATGACCGTAATTTTTATCTGATTATAAGGAAGAGCAACTTATTGAGCTTTGAAGCACTTGACTGTCGTCACAATTCTAGTCATGGAAGCAAGGTCTCCGATGAGATCAGGCACCTTAGGCAGGCGGCCTGTAACGGGCTAAAAGTTACACGGTTCTTTAAGTATCTAAAAACTTAACGGGGAGGCCTAAATGGGTACGAGGTACCTTAGGCCTGCCACTTAGGTGTGGCACATCCATGTGACCCACCCTCGTGAATGTAATATCCATGTATGGATTCACATTCAACGAGGATGCCGTCAGTTGGGACTGGGCGTCATGGTGACGCTTTAGACGGACGTCACCTGCGAGCTTAAATATATTTGAAGCTCGCACGTAAGGATACTCTTCTATAAAGACGCGTATCAAATCTTTGCTTTTTAAACAATCAGAAGTAAGAACTATATTTAGTTTAATCAAAAGTAAATATAAGTCAGTTTTGAATTTACTAATTACAGAAACAGCTTTTGTGACGCAGGTAGGTGCTTGTTCTAAAATTCGTTGCGCGGATCGCTTGAAGCGGCCGGCAACAGTTGGTACTACGCTTTTAAGCGCCTACTAACATACCCACCGCGCACGCGGAGGTAAGACGGTATAACCGCTTCCTCACGCTGCTCGAAGATGTGTGCTTGTAGCATGTGGTAGCTTCTTTCGAAGTGCCCTTTTACACTTGGTAGCACTAGTAGTCCTTCCTACGACCCGTTTCTCTGAGCTGCGTATGAATACGGATGTCCCTCAACGTGGTTAGGGTGATTTTCTCACCTCTCCCAACGTCATAGGTAGTTTGCAGAGCATTTGGGTATTTTGGTGCAGGGACTTGGTGAACAAGACCTGGCTAATCTCCTAAATTGTCCTTCTAAGCAACATGTTGCTCAGTTGAAGCAATTCAAGGCGTTTGTGCTTGGACAGCGTAGAAACGCGTCCGAGGTAAACAGCCAAGCCACAGCTGAGTCCATCAGTAAGACTCAGGATGAGCTTTTGCGCGAGCAAGCTCGGAACCAGGCACTCAACAGATCTGTTGAGACGCTTTCTGCCCGGTCTAATCAGCCAAGGCCTATTTGGATAGACCTCCGAAGTTTGATGGGACTTCTCCACGTACGATGGTTCACTGAATTTTCGCCGTCGAGCAATACGGTATGGCGCAGCTCATCGCAGACGAAACCAGGATGGTGTTGTATGCCATGTCCAACCTGCGTGGCAAAGAGTCATAGTAGGCTTACTATGCGCTTATGGGAAACGCTGATTCGTTTCCATCATGGACGATCTTCAAGTCAAAGATTCACGCCATATACCATCCGCCTGACAATAAATTATTACTTCAGGCGAAATTATTTGGAGCACGACAGGCGAAACGATCTCTGCAAGAGTATGTGCAGGGGATGCGTTTGCTGTCTGCGTCCATTAATGTGAGGCCGATACCGGAATACATTAAGGTGCCTACGTTCATGAATGGACTTAGTAACGGCCCATCGCGTCAGGCCCTTTTTATAAAAGTGCAAGAGACGGTATAAGATGCAATTGATATTGTCATGGAGCAATCCTACAACATTGCCTCGACGACAGCTTATGTAAGCTGTTGGCCGAGAAGTTGGATGCCACTTCAATGGAGTTAGGCAATGCAGACGTGTTCTGTTACAAGTGCGGTAAGCGCGACCATATGATGGCTCGCTGCTATGCCAAACTTGCCACTGGTGCTAAAACACCCGGCATAAAGTCTACCTACCCGATGTGAGGTGCGAAGAACCAGCGTGCACGACGCACGGGTTCAGCACACGTTTCTGAGGCTCCAAAAGTGGAACCGCAACCCTTTTGGTCTATAACACTCGAGTACGCGGATATGAGAAAAGTGATGACCCTTCTCGTTGATTCGGGTGCATCACAAAACCTCGTGAAACTCGCGATTTTGAAAAGAGTCCGGCGATTTATAAGTCGCTTTGACAGGATTACAAAGCGAGAAGAGGCGATTGTTCGTTTAGCGAATGGCGCGTTCGTTAAATCGGAAGGAGTTCAAGTTGAACTCGCCTTCAGTTTCAGTGACTTCTCTTGTAAAGAGAAGTTTACAGTGCTAGGTATGGAGAGTCCGTATGACCTCATCCTAGGCATGCCTTGGTTGGCTAAACACCAACGATGGATAGACTGGCGTACACGCACAGTCGCTAACTTTGCGCAGGACCACCGGAAAGGATGTGCTCTTGCGAGAGGCTGATGTGGCTGATGCTGTGTCCACCACAGTCGAGGGTGCGATGACGGTATGTCGACACCAGGTACTACACAGCTCGTTGAACCTGGAGTAGTTGGAAATTCCCTGACAGGAAGTCAGGTGACACAAATTTCTACCCAGCCCGAGGAGACTGGTGTAGTGAATGGGACAATGACAAGTCGTCATGCGTCCAATGGTCTTGCACAGAGCCAAGAGCCTGTGGCAGTTGATAGTGGGCTGACAGGAATTCAAGCGCCACAAGAACCGGCACAGAGCCATGAGCCTGGTGCGGTTGAAAGGAGTGCGCTGGCTAATACAGCAACGACACCTTCT